TTTAGAACGGACAGAAATGTTGTCTTTTCTGGGAAAACCGTGAGCACAGCCAGCGTTAAAATGTCCCTACTGCTGAATTATACCCAACATTTTTAGTCATTTTAGTGCCGAACACCCGTTTCTGTCGTAACCACCACACCAAAAAATTAGGCGTCAGAGTACGGTGACTGCGTAGCGTCTGCAATTGCACGGCTTTGAAAAAAAAAGACGTCACGTTGCTTCTTCCAACATTTTCGCAAAATGAATTCTTTATAGAGCCCTGTAAATATAGGCCATCAATTTGTTCCTTTGCCGCTTTCCTGTTCGTTTGATTTACAGCAAAGTCTAGCGTGGATTGCGATCAAAACTGTCTCTTTTCGACCGGCTTGGCGACTTCACTTTTGAAGTTTCAGTGATGAGCGAGGCTTCATTTCGTTCTAAATTTTTGCTTTAGGTATCTCATTTGTAGGACATGGGGAAGCATGAACGAGGAACACCGAAGGATATTGCAAATAGGATTAAATCGAAAGGCCTGCAGAAGCTGAGATGGTTTGTTTTAGTTTTTTGGTTGATCACTGTTTTTGTAATTGGAGGCACGTCCTGTATTATTTCTCCATTTTGCATTTTAATACCTTTATATATGGGTTTTTATGTTTTTAACCGAATATTTTGTAGTGAGATCCAATCACTTAGTTTGTATTTTGAAGGTTCTGTCAAATGTGTCAGAAGCAGTGTCGTGATCAGAACGGTTTCAAATGCCATCTTACCTCCGAATCCCATCAACGGCAACTTCTGCTCGTCGCCGAGAATACTAGCTCTTTTCTGAGACAATTTAGCAGAGAATTTGAAGCAAATTTCATGCAGGTAACCTTCCTTGATGTCCTTAATGTTTTCTATTTAATTTACTTTTCAGACAACTTTGCTTTTAAATGTTAAAAACCTTTCAGTTAGTGCAACATGTGCCCCTTTACACAGGTAATTGTCAGATTTAACTGAGATGTGAATTTTGGAAGGGTCCGAGAAGAGCGCTATCAAAGCCCTCTGTTTTTCCAGATTCTGAAGACCTCTTTTGGAACCAAGCGAGTCCGTGCTAATGAAGTCTACCAGGAGTACATTAAGGACAAGGTATAAAACTGATTGAGCTTTTTTAAAAACATTTTTTGGTTTATTTTGCTGTATGATTCTCCAATGATTTTTTTCTTTTAATTTCTCAATTGGATGCTTTGGTGGTTGTCAGACTTTGCGTCCATTCCCTAGCGAACCACTCGATTCAAAGCTGGCTCATTGCTGAATCGCGTGTACTCCTCGAATCGCGTGATTCACTAGCGATTGTTCGCGAAGTTTGAAACCTTTCTTTGCATTTTATTTCGATGTGAAATAGTGTGGAAATATCTTCAGGGACACGTTCACATGAACTCGACAGTATGGCATACGCTCACAGGCTTCGTATTGTATTTGGGAAAAAGTGGCAAATGTAAAATAGATCAAAACGAAAAAGGTAATTTTCATATTTTAATCATCCGTCAGTTCTCTCACCAATGTTTCCGAATCAATTCTCCTTTAGGAATCTGTTTAGCTTTTAGTTTCCTATTGTTCGAAAGTTCAAGCTTCTTTTCTTTATATAAATGTCTCCGCTGTTCTTTCTTTCTCAATATGTCTATTTTTTAGGATGGTATATCCAATATATTGATCAAGAGGAAGTGCTAAGAAAAGCTGAGGAAGCTAAGCGAATGAAAGCTGAGAAAGATGATGAAGAACGTCAGCAGGAGATGATCAACGCTCAAGTCCGCAGGTCTGAAGTAACTGTTATATCTTACGTGCTTTGTAACTCGTAACACTGAGTTGCGAATTTTTGATAGCTGTGGGGTAATTTTCCGATAAAAGTCACATTTCCAGAGCGCTAGAGCAACAGGGTGAAGTGTATGAGCCTCAAGCAACCGAACTCATCAGAAGTGACGATAGTGAAAAGATCACTTTGAATCTGAATTTGGATAAGAAACCAACGGCAGAGGTTAGTGTTGTGGTTTTTAGTTTGCTCTTAGCGTATAAACTTCTTTTTTTTTGATTTTTTGATTGGCATTGTTTAATAATCGATTGGATGGAATCTCGCACGCATTTAATTTCATTTAATTTGGAATTATTCCATTTACTACTTGTAGACAGGCATTTTTTGCTGATACTTAAAGCGCCTCATGGAGTATGCTGCTGGTGATTTCCGTATTTTTCAAGTGTTCTGAATGCCTCATTTCAGGATTTGAAGCGACCTGTATTTTCCGGAGTGTCGGTGTTTGAACAAATCAAGATGAAGAAAGAAGAACCAGCAAGTGATGAAGAAAGACCGAGTTCTAGCCGAAGAGATCGAAGCAGAGACAGGGATGAAAGGCGCGATCGGCGAGATCGTGACGCGAAAAAGAACACAGGAGCCGCAGTCGAAGTCGTGACAAGGAGAGGGATCGTGGCATGAAAAGGGAGCATAGAAGTCGGAGCAGAAGTCGCGAGAGAGAGCGAGATCGACAAGTGGGAGGTAAGTTCTGCTCTTCGATGAGATTACTTTGCAGCAGAAATTTATGGGATCTGCGTTCTCTCAGGTGGTAGAAAAGAACGACCGTCGTCCTCGTTCAAAAAGGACGAAAAACCCAAAAA